AGCAAAGGAAGGAGGGGCCAATTCTGCTCCACCCAAGGGATGCACCAGAGGGAGGACTGGACATCTGGCCAGGAATTACAAAGGATTTATATTATACTGTCATTTGCCAGCTATACGACCTTGGGCAAGTTACTTAACCCTTCCAGGCCTCAGCTTTCTCATGCAAACAATTCAGAGTGGACCAAATGGCCTCTATCATCAATATCAGCTCAAAAATTCTTGACACATTCCAAAGGGGTCTCTTTTACTCCCAGGATATTTCTTCCTAACAAGCCACATGCAGAGCCCCTGACTTCAAAGCTAGCTGTAGAAGGCAGCAGGGAGGTGAGGATGGGATGTGTTCCCCTGCACCTCCCAATTAGCAAGACTCAAGATCATCCATTATTCATTCAACAAATATGTGACAAGCACTGTTCTAGGCAAGGAGGATGCAGTGATGAATAAAGCCAACAAAACTCCCTCGCTCACAGAACTTACAGTCTGGTTAGAGAAGAATTCTAGTTGAGCAAGACAGACAATGATCAAAGTAGGTAGATTAGGTGGTGACAAGTGCTTGGGAGAAAAATCAAGGACGTAAAGGAGATAGGAGATAGGAAGAACACAGGGGGGAGGTTGTAGCTTTAGTTGAGAGTGGCCAGGGAAAACTTGGCTGAGCAAGAGACACTGAGAACAGGCTTGTGGGGTGGAGGAGGCCAGCTATGCAGATGTCTGGGAGGAGAGTATTCCAGGCAGACAGGAAGGGCCTGCCATGGGGGCATGGCCCGTATACTGGAAGGACAGTGGGAGGCCCATGTTGCTGGAATGAAAAACACAAGGGGAAAGTGATGAGGCAAAGTCAGGGAAGAAGGGGGAGAGTTCCTAGCACCTGGTAGGATGCTGTCAGGACTCTGGGAAGCCACTGGAGGGTTTTAAGCAGAGTGACATGATCTGACTTGAGTTTTAACAGGATCATGAGTGTGAGTTTAGAATAATTAAAGGGAATGTTAGACAGGGATCAAATCTGCAGGTGGCAGATGCAGGCCAGGAAGGTGGTTCCTAGGGATGAAGAAGCCAGGGACCAATCAGGGGAAGGAACTGCAGGAAAACACAGAACACCTGTCAGTAATGTATATCAATCATCTGGTAACATCCCACACCTCCCGTATGCCTCCCCTGACCAGGCCAATAAAAGGAAACCACCTAGGCATCCTTAACATCTTTCTCCACTAATGTTGACTGGCCTGTTCCTCTCTCTGGAAAGTATTTTCCCTTTGCGTAGCTCCCTTCTTTTCTACAATGACAGCTGTTTGTGTGGACTTGCTTCCTGTCTGTGGTCACTCATTGCACCTGCCCTGCTTGTGATTCTTCCAAGCAAGGAGCCAAAGAACCAGGACAACCTTCTCTTTCAAAAACCCAACCCTTGCAGGGAACAAGGGCAGAAGTAGGTCCCAGCTCTATGAGACAAGCAACCACCTTTGAAAAACTCTGGCAGGGGTAGGGAATGAATCTGGTAAGGAGAGGATGGGCCACATGTTAGTGTCCTCGAGGCATTAGCCATAGGGGACAGGTCAAGCCTGTCCTGGAGCAAACTTTTCAACACAGGCCCAGGAATCATGCCCTGCACTCAAGCAAGAAGCCTCACAAGCAAATGGGCACCTATAAATGAAGTGATCCTTTACATTTATGAAGGCCATTAATCCCATTCCAACTGGAAAGCAGGAAAACAAACTATGGCAGTGGGCTCTCCAAAGCCCTCACTCCAGCCAACTGAAAATACCTGTGAAAGGTGACCCTACCCCATTAACCCAGCTGCACACTGCCATGTAAAAAGGACCCTGTATTTAAGTACTGTGTAATCGTCCCACGTTGCTGATATCGTTAAAACTTCTCAGAATAGTTCTATGGCCAGGCTGGAGAAGAAAAAGTAGTTACCAGGGCAGTTGGGCACAAAGGGCCTTTTGCCAAACTACTTAGATATTTTAATTCCCTGTTGCCTCAGTAGCTAAATAAGCATGGAGAACAAGCGGGAGAGGAATACTAATTAGAGCTAATTAGACCCTGCCCTCTTCTGCCTTAATCCCCTTTATAAAAAGCCCCCCTGTCTCAAGGATGATGGAGTTAAAATGTAAATCCATAGGGTAAACAGCGCTCTACAAACCAAGCCCACTGTTTGCATTTCATTGTCTTGTCTATCCTAAACCTGTGCCTAGTTACACAAAGAGAGCCGCAGACCCACCAAATTCCAACAGCTCCATCACAGACCACAGGAAATGGGGGAGGAGGGGAAGGGTGCTGCCAACATGAGCCCACTGAATAAAATAAAGGGCTCCCTTAGGATTTAGAGCATTCTAATTTGCAGGACATTCACTAAAAGAACATTTTATTGCTTTAAAAAAAAAAAGTATGAGGCAAACATGACTCCAGTCATGTAGCAGGATCAAGACCAGGTTCCTCTCTCTGTCTTAGAGAACAACAGCAGTGTGGAAAGGCCTCACCCCAATGAGACCCCTGGTTTTGTGGAAGACCACATCCTAGGGTCCTGTCTGGTGGTTCTTGGTGGTGCAACAATAAGGAGAGTTGGAGATATCCCTGGGTGGGGGAAGGATGTCTGCTGGCCAGGGACTTGTTTGAAACAAGCTCCTTAAACTTGAGGTCAGTTTCCTACAGGAACCAGGGCAGAGACGAAAGTGTGGTTACAGCAATAGCGCAATTTGGCCACTGGTGCAGGGACACCCAGACAGGCATGGCCCTGAGGGTCACCTTTCTTGTTTTCTGGGTAACTAAGTTTTTTCTTTCAAATCATCTTTCTGGTAGCAAGAGGGAAACAAGCCCTGAATAAAGTACCTACAGTAATTCAAGAAAAAAAGAAGAAAAGGAAAAGGAAAACAGAATGTTTGAAGTTGGTTTAGCAACAGTGGGAAACTAGGAGAAATCCCACAGACGGGAGTCAGTGCCTTCTAACCTAGAGAGGCTCCAGGGCACTAAATAAAGGGAGGTGGCAAGTCTGGGGACAGTTGTCCTGTCTGCTCTCACACCACTCTTGCTCTTCCCCAGGGGGCTGGCTGAACTCCATAGGAAACGGCAGAAGATAAACCTGTGGTCACAGAGAAGAGCAATTGGAAAAGGCAACCCGGAAGGAGTTGGAAATAAACCACCATGGCTCAATGCTTTTTCTCTACCGAAGCTGAGTCATGTAGGACAAAGGGCACTGGACCAAAAAGCCAGGTCCCTGGTCCACCACTCCCAACTCAACGAGGGGGCAGAGGGACAGGTCATTTCACCCTCTTGAGCCCATCTGGAAAATGGAGATCATTGTGAGGAAATACACAAACTCTGAAAAAGAGAAATCACATTGCAAATTGTGCTTTTATCTGAACCACAGAATGTTAAACTGGAGGGGAACTGAAAAGCCATCTCCTTTAGCAGTTCCCAAACTTGTGGATTTCACAGAACACTACGATTTAAAAACAAGACAAAAGAAACAAACAGAAAAAGAAAAGGGAAAATTAATATAGGATTGCCTAATCTTTTTATTTTGCCAAAAATAAAAAAGCCACCATCTATTGTCATCGAAAGAATGTTTTAAAAGAACATTTTCCCACCAAAAAATAAATCGGGCATGATTTCAAACCAAAGGACAGCCCTTGCCAAGCAGGGGGCTGACGACCTACGCCTGCGTGCGATAACAGGCGCCGTCTTCCTCTCCGCATTTCCCCGGGCCCAGGGAAACATCAGCGATGGGCACTGGTTGCCAGATGGGCATTCGGAATCCTCTGATCTAATCCCAGCACTGGAGTGATTATTCTCCCATAAAAAAACCTTTGCTACAGTATTAAGTTTGAATTAGGGCCTGAAGGAACTTTTTGTTTGCGCAGACCCCTCCTCCGCACTCAGACATAAACTTCCACCGCCTTCACGTAAATGAGACGCCCGGGGGGACCGCCCTCCGCCCGCGGCCAGGCGACCCCTCCGCTCACAGGAGCCGTCAGGTGTCTCGGGCGTGCAAGCGAACAGAGCGCCCCAACACGCAACCCTGTCCTAAGGGAAAGGAGAAAGTTTGCAGGAAACAAGGGTGTCCTTTCTCCGGGGCCTCCTAACTGCCACGTCCCACCTCTCTCGACTCTTAAAACTTAAAGCAGGTAACCGGGCTCCACGCAGCCGCCAGCCCGCGGCAGTGTCGGGCCAAGCGGTCGCGCCCCACAGCCCCGTCCTCTGCTCCACAGTCCTCCCGTGAGGCTCGGAGTGTCCGGGAGGGGCTGGGACTGGAGGCGTTGCCTGAGGGGCACTCCCGAAACGTAACTCGCGGGACGAAGTCTTTAGAAATCTGATGGGCAAGTCCCGGGGGGCCGCGGCCCGGACGCGGGTCTCCCACGGGTTACGGCGGCTTGGGGGAGGGCGCGGGGGTAGCATCCTTAAAGGAAGGCGGCTGGCCTCGGCCGCCTTCAGGTGACTTCAGGATTCGCCGTGGGGCCCCTGTACCCGCGGTTCCAGGGGACGAGCCCTCCGGAGTCGCAGTGGCCCCACGCCACGGCTCCAGGGCTTAAGCCTCCCGCTGCCCTTCGCTTGCCCCAGACCGGGGCACCGGCGGCACCACTGCGCGCCTCCCGCAGGCGGCCCGCCCCGGCCGGCCACAAGGGCCGCTTTGTGCCGGCGAATGCAGGGCCCCGGCCCCAAAGCAGGGCTGGCGGGGCCCTCCCCGCGCCCTGGGCGCGGGCGCTCGCGGGCTAGGTCAGCAGACGGGCCAGGCTGTTTACACAGGAAGGGAAGGCTCCTCCTCACTCCGGGAGGGGACCGGAGATGGACGACAGCCCGGCGGGCTGCTGCGGGCGGCATGCACCGGGTGGCGCACGCAGTTCGGAAGCGTCCTGCGCGGCGGTCCCCCAGAGGGGGACTCACCGGGGAGTGCCCCGAAGGCGCCCTCCGCCCTCGGGCAACGCCTCAAGTTCCAGCCCACCAAGACGCCTGCAGGCGGCTGCATGCGCGACAAAGTTTCTTTCCGCACAGTTGGCGGCGCGACTTACCTGGGAGCCGGGGCACGAGCGCGCAGAGCCCGAGGAGGCAGGCGTACAGGGGCGCCGGGGCCCGAAGCATGGTGGGCGCCGGCTCAGCGGCGGCGCGGGCGCTGCACTCCGCGGGGGCCGAGGACGGGGGGCGGCGGCCGCATGCCCCGCGCGCAGCCAGGGATCACGGCGCCCGCGGCTGGGCGGGAGGCGGTGGCGGCTGCGCTGGCCCGCGCCCCGCCGCCACCATCCCTCCCGGACCGCTCACAGCCGAGTCGCGGGCCCGCCGCTGCCCTGGCCGGCCGGCCGGGACGCCCGGGGTGCAGCTGCTAGGGACGTCCCCGGCGGGCGGCTCTGGGCAGGGGAGGGGCTGGCTCCGTGCTGCGGCCGCGACTTGTGCCCGGAGACGCGCCCCACGCCGAGGCTCCCCTGCGCGCCGCACACTCTGCCCTTCGCCTCCGCCCCTTCCCCTCCTCCCCCCGGCCCGCCGGGCTCCACTTTCCTCCCCTTCTTTCTCCTCCCCTTCTCTCCCCTGCCAGGCCCCCGCCCGGCCGCCAGACGGTCAGTTTACGGCGAGGCGGGGTGGGGCGGGGCGAGCTCTGGGCCGGGCCAGCTCCGCCCTGCGCGGGGACGGCTGGGGACTGGAGGCCCGACGGCGCCCAGGTGGAAGTCCCTTCCGGCGCACTCGTGGGGTGGGGAGTTCGCAACAACAGGGTAGGGGTCCGTTCCGGGTTCTCGGCAGCCTGTCCCTGCGGGAGGGGGGCGGGGCGCGCTCCCTGCGGCCAGCCCAGATTGCTCGGGCCGAAGGCGGTGGCGGACACAGAGCAGGTACTGTGGGATCCCGCCGTGACCCTCTCGGCCCCTCAAAGCCTCGCGGCCAGCTGGGCCCTCGGCGGAGGCGGGACGCAGGCGCCCGCGCATGCAACCTCAAGGCGACGATCTGCGTGGGGAGAGGAGAGCACGGGGGGCCTGGAGGCACAGGTAAAGCCCACTTTTCACTTATTAACGTTTTGCCCCCTTCGAGGAGTCGAGACTGGCCAATATGCCGTTTTCCCTACTGACACGCTGGCAGTCTTGGTGACCAAGCTGATGAACTGGAAAGCAGATGCCCAGACTTTCATCCATCTTGTCAGTCACGTCTGAGCTGGATCTGAAATCGCCAGTGAGGGGTAGAGTGGCGGGACTTACAGGCAACTCATGCAAAGGGTACGTTGGCCTTGGCCTAGGATGGGTTGAGACTGGAATGGTGTCTAGGCAAGAGGAGAAGAGGCGGCATTCATGTAGAGGGAAGGTAGTAATAGGATACCTGACACGTACAGAGAGCACACTGCCTGCCAGGCGCTGTTCTAAACGCTTTGCCTGCATTAACTCATTTAATCGTCCGACAACGCTACTGTTACCCAGATGAGGAGTCCGAAGGACTGATGGGTTAACATGCTGAAGGAAGTGACAGCTGGGATGCCTCTTCAAAAGCTCAGAATGGCTTGACTAAAAACAGAAGCTGTAAGAAGTAACAAGCAAAGGGGTCTCACCTTTGCAGGTTGGGGACCATTTAGAAGGATTGGTTGGAAGACTGGAGGGAGAACGGTCTTAACTGCCCAGCTTAAGGAGTTTGGATCTTAATCTTTATCTGTGCCCCCCAAACTCCACCAAGGTGGTGACTCCATGCCAGAGGAAGTAAATTTATTCTTGCAGAACAGCATAGTGTGCCTAGGGGAAATGGGACACAGTCTACAGCAAGCTCCAAATTTCACTGAAGGCCAGCATTTCATCCTTAAACTGCATGCAAATATCATCCTATTCTATAATATCCTCATGTTTGTTCTGAAAAGTAGTGCTTGTCCCCAAACATTTTCCAGTAAAATTGGTGTTGCAGAAGATGCCCCGGGTTTATCTTGGGACTGACTGCCTTTCAGCGCAGTGGCCTTGGAGCTACTCTCATTCCAGCACACAAGGCAGTGGTTGTAAAACACGGGAAGCCATTGAAGGAGTTTGAACTGGGAGATGTCATGTGCCAAGTGGTGATTTTAAAAGATTTTTCTGGGATGTGTAGGATGGATTAGATGGAAGGAGAGCAGAGTCCCAGAAATGAGGTAAATACTGCATTATACAACAATAATTTACATATATCAAGCATTCTTTAAGTTTGGGCCCTGTGGTGGCAGGATCTTCTGTGCATCACCTTCCCTACCCCAACTCGGATGCTTCACACACTGTTGAAATATACACTTTGTCTCAGACCCAACACAGACCACCCTTTACCTGGACTGCACCTGGAAAATGCTACAATCAAAGCTGCCCTGCTACCATCCTCACCAGCCTCCTCCTGTCCTACCTGGTGGTTCCCTGCACTCCAACCTGCCCAGACCTGCCATAAGCCACTAAATTCCAAGTGATCCAGACTCTATTATCTTAACACTGATTTGGAGATGCCTTTTCTAATTCCTCTGAACTTTTGCTTTCTGGTTCTTAGGCATTTCAGTGCCTTTCTTCCTGTCCAAGAACCCTTCATTCTTTTTGTTACACTGGAGAGAGGGTGTGCCCTGCAAATGCTTTGACTGCCTCCTACTGATTAAATTTAGCATGCATTGCTGGCTCTGCTCAAGCTAAGGGACAAGGCAATATTTGTCCCATAGCGGCTGGAACAGTTTACTTTGTGCTACCTCAGGAACAGTCCATGTCTGATTCCTACTGAGCTTCTGGGCTCAGTTTGACCTGGGGAACTGAGCATGGATAACTCATAGAAATTTTATGTTTGTTGTTGTTATTTTAAAATATGATTAATTCCTCAAGAATTAAATGTAGAATTACCATATGATCCAAGGACCCCAGCTTTGCTTATATATTCAAAAGAATTGAAAGCAAGGACTCAAATAGATACTTGTACACCAGTGTTCATAGCAGAATTATTCACAATAGCCAAAAGATGAAAGCAAACCAACTGTCCATCAACAGATGAATGGAAAACAGAATGTAGTCTAAACATACAATGGAATATTATTCAGCCTAAAAATGAATGAAATTCTTACATATACTGCAACATGGAACATCACTCTTAGTGAAATAGGCCAGACACAAAAGGACAAATATTGTATGATTCCACCTACACGAGGTACCCAGAATAGGCAAATCATAGAGACAGAAAGAATAGAGGTTACCAGAGGCTGGAGGGAAGGGAAGAATAGATATATAGAATGTATATAGTTTGGGATAATGGAAATGGTCTGGAAATGTATAGTAGTAATGGTTGTACAACAGAGTGAATGCACTTAATGCTACTGAATAGTAAACTTAAAAATTGCTAAAATAATAAATTTTATGTTATGTATATTTTACCAGTAAAAAAAAAATCCTTAAAAATCAGATTAAATAAAAGCTTCCTATTTCACAATTCAGATTTACATAGTAACTCACTCCCAAAATGAATTGTCCCATTGGGCAATTCAATTTATAATCCAGGCAAAAAAATATTTACTGATACGTAGCTGCAATTCAACACAGGGATAAAAATTCTAAGGGGGAAAAACAACAATCCTATAGTGTTTGCCTTAGCTTAGGTAATGTGCTTAATTTATTCTGCTTTTAATAGACATGCCTAGGATTTGTCACAGTGCAAGAAATGAATGACCTCGATGACAGAATATTACAAAATTCTTTTGTAGAGATTGATAGGCCTGTAACACATGCATACAAGAATAGCCACTGCACTCCAGCCTGGGCAACATAGCAAGACCCCGTCTCTTTGAAAAAAATAAATAAAAAAAAGATCAACTTTTTAAAAATACCAAATTATACTCCTTTTTATAGGAAAATGCTCTGCCATCGAGTTTTCTTTCCCTGTGCCCCATGGTCCTGGTTAGGAAAAACTAATCCCGAGGCTTCAGGGTTTACAGCCAACACAGGAGGCTGAGGACAGAGCTAAAAGCAACATCCAGATAATGGATGAACACAAGAGACAAGCAGACGACAGGCTCCAAGAGCACAGTGGGTTCCCTGTTAGTGAAGAAGAGCCTGTTATGTTAATGGGCATAGGGTAGATCCTCAGTAATTTTTGCCTGTTTGTTTATTTTGGGGTTAGGCATGCACACTGTGGTCACGCCAAGTATGAGGCAGGTGGAATTTCACAGTGAGATGGAATACCAAATAAGTCTTGACAGAAATTGTTTACATAGGGAAAGGTGTTCCTGTTTGTTGTTGATGCTCTTAATGTGCAAATGTAGCTATAAGCCATAGAAATATCACATTTCTCTGAAGCTGTTAAGAGGCACACACAAGCATTTTAAACTTCTTTATGGAGTAGCTAGCGCACCGTTGGTAAATAGGTGATGTGTGTACAACCTCTCTGTTCATGTAATTACCAATTCTGAAAATACTCATGAAGTATTATTATTATTAAATTGAGAGCAATTTTTCAAAGGTTAGTTTTGAAAATATTGTTAAGATTCTATATTCCACAGGAAATGTACAATTTCCAGCTTTCATGAACTGAAATATTTTAAAACAATAGCCATTTTTAAAATTACAGTAAATGTTGTGATATTTTCCAGTTAATTTTGGCATGCTTGTTTTCCTTTTGGAAGAATTTTCTTTAAAGTAGTCAGTAGGATTTAGACCCAGGGTAGACTCTGCTGGAGTCTTTCTCTAAATGCGCCCTTTCCACTTGAGCAAAGCAGTCACAATTCCTTTCTCTTTTCCTGGAAGTTATCTCACATCACTTAAAGAGCATAGATTCTTTTCCAGTTATTTCGGTAAAAAGTACAATGAAGGACCGCAAGTACACACAGACACACACACACCACATTTTAAATCAGTCATATTCAGAGATTTCTTGAGTAAATGCTAGGAATTAAGGAGTGGGCAGGAGATGTGGAAGGGACACAAACAGATGTGGCCCATGCAGATGTGGCCTGGGGAGAAAAGCCATGGGAGTGGAGTGATAGGACAGAGGGCCCTGAATACCGCTGTCATGGGCAAGGACAGAGACAGACATCTAAAGAGGGAAGAAAGAAGCCAGTATGTTGGGAATGCTCTTGGAAGCTGAGCTGGCATTCTTCCTTGGCCAACTCAGTACCACTGTCTTTTTTATCCTCTTTTCACCTCCACTCCACTCCCTTCTTCCTGCCTCGCCCCTTTACCTTGTCTTAGGTATATCAGTGGCCCTTAACCACTTCAGTACCAGCGTTGACTATAGTTGATAGCCACAGATGAATGCGCACAGCGATTTTAGGCGACAGCCATGATATGAAGGCGCACAGCCGAGCATCGACTTTAGCCGACAGCTGTGATAGGACTTTTCTAATTTTTCATTTATCAAAATAAAATTGTGAACATTTAAAAATAACGTAATAAAAACATATGTGTATATGTTACCTATTCTGATTTACATTACAAGTAAAGCTGCCTGTAAAATAAAACAAGCTATCTGTGCTTTAAAGCTTTCCTCATCACACAAGAGCAAAATGGATTCGTCATCAATGCACAGCACAAACTACGTGGGGACTGTGAGCCCTAGCTGTGGGCAAGGTTTCATGGCCAGTGAGCGCCATACCAAAGTGGTTAAAGAACTTGGTCCTTGCCTCCATTAGAAGAGTTGAGGTTGAAGTTATTTGCTTATAGCACAACTGTCTCTATGACTCAATTCTCAACTCCTGGAGAGTGGGCACTTTAAAAAGTATCTGTGGCATGATTAATTTATCCAACAAATATTTACTGAGTGTATGGCATGTGCCAGATACTGTTCTAGGGTTAGGGATAGAACCAGTGATGTTTATACTGAGTCTCGAAGGATGAGGCAATTTTGTAAGGCGAAGGAAGGGAGAGGAACAGCACTGGACGGCTGTTCACAAAGCACCCACTCCCTCATCTTCCTGGACAAGTAGTCTTGGCCCCTTGGTGTGTTGGGTGTGGTTATGTGACTAAGTTCTAAGCCAGTGTAATATGGGGGGAAATGAGGTGCATTAGTAATAGCCATAACCCTTAAA